AGTGACTTTCCCAAAAACACACAGTAAGTGGCTGAACTGGGATTCAAGTCAAATCCTCTTAACTCCAAAATTCCTAAACTACTTGTTCTAACTACTAAAATAATGTAGCAGCATTGTGGCAATTCTCTATAAATCCTTCTTTTGGCTATATGAAACTCCATAGTGTGGAGTCTAGTCATTGTTCTCAGGGAGATGAAAATGATCTTCGATGGAAGTTAGAGACATAAGAAGCAAAGAAAATAACAGGGCAAATATTTAAATAAACCTAAATAAATATTAACTGAATAAAAAATACTGTTATCTTGTGGGGTTTTAAATATACATGAAAGGAAAACATATACAGTAATGGATCAATCAAGAGGATGTTCAATGGAGTTAAAATGCTCTCAGGTGTAGCCCTGGCTAGGTAGCGCAGTTGATTAGAGCGCCATCCCAATATACCAAGGTTGGGGTGTGGGTTCAATCCTCGGTCAAGGCACATACAAGAAGCAACCAATGAATGCATAAATAAGTGAAACAGCAAATCATGTCTCTTTCTCTCTCCAAAAAAACTGCTCTAAGGTGCCTGCATTAATCATCAGGTAAAAATACTAATTTATATTAATTAATTAATATAATTAATAAGTCAAAGATGCATGGCTTTAAAAAATGTATAACTACCAACAAAATGTGGCTGTATGAAAACAAATAATAATTTTTAAAATTCAAAAAAGGAAAAAGGAGCAAAAAAGGACTACAGAATAGGAAAAACATAAATATATCAGTAATTGCATTAAGTGTAAATGGACCAAACGCTTCAAGTAAAAGACATATTTTATCAAAATGGATGAAAAAACAATTCAACTTTATGCTGCTTACAAGAAAAATCCCTTAAGTACAAGAATATAGATAGGCTAAAAGTAAGGTGACAAAAAAGATATGCCAAAACTAACACATTCACATATATAAGAACACCTGATTTGTTATACAGGTGTCAGTGCTGAGCAGTGGGGAATTCATGGTCTTTACAACAAATGGTTCAGGGTCAAAAGGATGTCCACATGGAAAAAAATGAAACTTGATCCCTGCTATATTTAATACACACTATACACAAAATCATTTTCAGAAGGACTGTAACTCAATGTGAAAGACAAAACAAAAATCTTCCAGAAGGTTTAAAAATATATCTTAAATAGGAGACAAATAATAAAGAAAAAGACTGAAAGGTCTGAACTACATTAAAAATAAGAATTTTTATTCCTACAAAGATATCAAAAGAATAAAAAAGCAAGCCATAAAATAATAGGTTATCTGTAAAACATATAACTAAAAAGGGCTTGTATTCAGAATATATCAAGAACTTCTACAAATCAAATTTTTAAAAAGGACAACTCAATAGGAAAATGGGCAAGAAACTGAACAGGTAATTTTACAAAAAAGGATATCCAGCTCTGGCCTGGTGGCTAAGTTGGTTGTAGCATTGTCCCACATGCCAAAAGGTTGCGAGTTCAATTCCTAGTCAGGGCACATACCTAGGTTGAGGGTCTGATCCCTGGTCAGGGTGTGTAAAGGTGGCCACAGAATTATGTTTCTCTCTCACATTGATGTTTTTCTTTTTCAGTCTCTCCCTCCCTTTCTCTCTCTGAGATCAGGTAAGAAGAAAAAAGGTAAGACAGCAGATGTTATAGGTAGGATTACATCTAAAAAACAAGGGATGAGAAATGACAGAGAAAATATGAGAACAATCTATGTTTTAGGAACGGGAAGAAAGAACAGGGAATTCTAAGGCAAAGGAAACTATTTATAGTACTTCTTATGTCTAGAAATATAGATCAGGACCAGTGAGATAAAAAACAAGCCAAATGGAAAATGTAAAAGCAAAATTACAAAGTCCCCCAAAATAAACAAAATATTTCATCATAAAATTATGTTTATATTTCATTTTGAACAAATGAAGGGGAAAAAGGAAAAAACAAGAACAGAAGTAAAAGGACAAGAGGTAAACAGCCCCAACCCTGACACTGAGGAGAAAACAGCCTCTCACCATTAAACCTATGTAAGAAACTTGCTATAAAATATTCCTAAGAAGTAATCTCAAAGTAGTCAATATTCCAAAAGTAATATTTAACACTGCCATAACCCCTTCAATAGTGATTTTCAACATACAAGGGCATTCACATAAAATTGATAATTCTGAGGGAGAATGTGCAATTAATCCCATTAACAAAGGAGGGAAGGGGCTCTGAGAGGTTAAAACACTAACTGGAGGCATCCAGTGTTGACTCTGCCACGCTACAGTGTTTAGAAATGTCCTTGATGCAAAGTGTTCAGACTAAATAAAATTGTCATCTTACAAAAGGGGAACTGAATAGCAAAGGATAGTAATTTGAAACTGTTAGAGAAAATCCTTACCTAACACTGGTAGACAGTGGAGGAAGAGGAGAGGTGAGAGAAGGAAGGTCATACTTCAGCTTATGCGATGGGAAACACCTGTGCCAGGACTGCTTTATAGCTGGGTACTTTTTGTTTAAAGTAATGACATCCCTGGGAATAAGGTCCAAGATGGCCTCATCTCTTCCAATACTTGTAGCATTTTAAGTATGGTTCTGATTAGGCTTGTTACCTGTACTGTCAAATTTTATATTTTATGTAAACATATAATCTTAACAGAGTCATCGATTTTCATATTTATAGGTTTATATCAGGTATAAAACAACTTATCTTTAAAGATTGAGATGCTTGGATTTGACATTTCAAATATGCTACAAATTGCTTTATGGTATAGTTTTCAGGTGAAACGCCCTTAAAATGAAAACTTTACACTTGTACTTCAGCAACAAGCTTCTGTAGTAAGAGCATGACCAGAATCTGAGTGACAAATTATAACATTCAAAAACTTTGAAATTTGGCCAAAATAAATGATATATTTCCTATGTGTTTTGGGAATGAGACTTTTTCAGAGGTAAAACTTATGTGAGTATATTTTACTAAATCTATATATGTAAAGCCTGAACAAGTGGTTGGTAGTAATGGGCTGTTAAATAAAGTAGGGTAGACTTGATGTCTAGACAAGATAGTAGTGAGGGCTGCAGTTTTAAGAAGTTTATTACTTGCTCTGATAAAAAAAGAAAAACAAAGAATGTTTCTATTATGTAAGGGTAGTATGAAATGCTTAGATCATGCATATACAACAACAGAGTTGCGACTACTTTAATTTCATTTTAATCCATCACACGTTAAAAGCTAATTCTTTTCCATGTCCCCAAATCTAGTTACCATTTCAGGAAGATGGTACATTTGATCATTCTTCTAGCCTTTTTCTTTTAAAAGTAAAAAAATATATATCCTATTATATATTGAGAGAGAATGAGCAAAAGCTAGGGAGAGCGCTGGGAACTATCAGCTGTTTAGATGGTGATTGAAACTATACACTGAAAGAGGGCCACAGGAGGAACACTGATTAAATATCACATCTTATTTGCTGAAGAAAACATTTTCTGTACAACTCATTAGCTCAATAAACACTAATTAATTACTGACTGATGACAGCAATGGTATATTTGAGTTTTAAAAAAAATTTTAACATAAAACCTCCATGTCCTTAAGAAGAGGTTAAAAAAACTAAAACACCTAAAAACCTATAATTAAATGCAGCCCAAATGGTCACAAAAATGGTGAAAGTGTAGAATTCAAATTAAAATAAAAAATTATATATTAAGTAGATTGATCTAGATAACCATAAGACTAATGATGTAGACAAGCAACAAAATGACTTGTAAATTAACTTGATTTTTCTTAGCTAACTAGAGTAAGTAAAGGGGTTCCTAGATGGCTAAGAAATAGAATTTATTCAATACAACAAGACTGGCATAGATATGAGTGGCTATAAAAAAATATCTTTACTAGCCCTGGCCGGTGTGGCTCAGTTTGTTAGAGTGTCATCCTGTGCACTGAAGGGTCTCCAGTTTGATCCTAGTAAGGGCAAGTCTGGGGTGTATATGGGAGGCAACCAATAGCTGTTTCTGTCTCTCCCTCTCCCTTCCTCTCTCTCTAAAGAAAAAAAAAAAATGTCTTTACTAAAATAAATGTACATTTGATCTGAGTCCTTTAAGTTAAAAGAAAGAATAAAAAAAATAACCCTCTTGATCAAGTGTCTCTTAATACTCTCCATGTTTACACGTTTTAGAACATCTGATTGGCACCATCTCTGGATCTAAAATGATTCCCATCTACATTTTAATTATAAATTATCAGATAAATATATAATCAACCCTTATTTCAACAGAGACATACTTATAGGTAGAAATATCAGCATTTCCATAAAATAGCATTATGTTAGAATAGTATTCTTTCTAAAATAGCCAGAGGTTTCAAAAATAAATTTGCCTTCAGAGTACTTGTTCTTTTTTTTAGTTATTATCCACCAAATAAGAAGACTTTTTCCCACACAAATGATAATTTTCTGTGATTTGAGGAATACCATGAATAATGCATTTAAAAAATATTTTCAGGCATATCTCTGCAATTGTATTGATTTTGATTTTATTAGTAGATACAATGTATCTACTAATACAACGTTTAAGAATGGTTGACAATGATTGGTACTAAACAACAAACTAAGATTCTCTGCAATCATATACTCCAGTTAGGGTCCCTACTGGGGACAGAGCCCGCAACCTGGGTATGCGCCCTAACTGGGAATTGAACCAGTGATCTCTTGGTTCCTGGGTCGATACTCAACCACTAAGCCACACACAGCCAGGCAGAAGCTTGCTTTTTATTTAAAAAAACAAACAAGTAAATAGGGCTCAGGAACCAAACAAGTAAATAGGGCTCAGGAACCAATTTTGGTTTCAAAATTACTGTGAAACCAAACAATTTTTATAATTTTTTAAATTAATTTCAGAGTCACAAGTGGAAAAAGACAAAATAAAATATATCTATTCAATAACTACTGTAAATACCAAGTGCAAAGTGACAGGAACAAAAGATTATATACTGTAAGAAGACTGGATTCTCACCTGTTCAATCTCTTTGGTTTTTGATGCTATTGCTTTGGAGCGACTGTTTAGCTGACTGTCTTCATATAATTCTATGCCGTCTGTTGCATTTGACTCAGGTTCTTCTGGCTGGTCAATGAACAATGTTGCTGTAGATCCAGCCTTTAAGAGGAATTAGAAATCTTTAATTGCGTTCGTAAAGGACATATAGCATTTCACATAACTTTATAGGCACTAACTGGCAGATTGTATCAAGAGAACATGCTAAATTTAACCTGTCTTAAGAAAACACTTTCATCAATTGCATTATGTAAGGAGAATTAAAGAGGAAATGATCATTTTTAAAATTTTAGGTAAGACAAAGTCTCTAGGCTTATTTCATTCCAAAATTATATTTCATGCTATACTAAGACAGAGCTAGAAGGCTCTGTCCTGTAACTATTCTATAAGTAATCTATTTAAGAAACATTGACGAGAAAAATTCCAATTGGAAGTAAGGGGTGTGTGTATACATAAACAATTATATTAAAAGGAACATGGGAAAGAGCTCTATTTTCAGAAGTTAAAACTACCACCTTGGCTCCTATAGCCTAAGAATTTACTGAAACAAATAAAAAGGAAATAATTCCCAAAAGCAATAATGATCACGTCTATTTGAGAACAATTCATTAATGAATAAATTATCCCACAAAAAGCCTACAGACAATTACTGTATTTTCTAAAAACACTTGATAAAAAGAAAAATGAATGAGGAAAGACTTTATTTTAACTATACTCATTAGTTTTTACAAAACTTTACTATATGACAAATGCCAACCTCTGCTCTAGGAACAACAGATATACTAATGAACAAAAGGGACAAAAGTTCTTGCCTTCACATAGCTCGCAGAAAGCAATAACTTAGAGTAAACTGTTTGAGCTCATGTATTTTACTGTTGAATATTTTAGGTGGATGGGAGGTAAGGGAGGAAATAAGAAACATGTACTTCTTACAAGTTTATAAAAAACTTAGTGATTGAAGTTGAGGCAAATAGCAGTAGGTTTAGAGAAGTCATAAGACATATACTGATTACTGGTACTTTTTCACCAGTAAAAGCAGTGGCATTCCAACCCTAATGTGTTGTATACTGCCACAGCTTCTCTAGAGAATAATCTGGCAGCATTTATCCAAATTTAGCACATGTCCCATTCACACAGCAAAGTTAGAGAAAGGCAAACACTGTATGATCGTACTTTTATATGGAATCCTCAAAAAGAAAGAAAAAGAACCTCACAGAAAAAAAGACCAGATTTGTGGTTACTAGAGGCAAGGGGTGGGAGTGAGAGTGGTGAGGGAGAATTGGATAAGGTGGTCAAACGGTACAAACTCCTTGTTAGAAGATAAATAAGTACTAAGAATGTATACATTGATGTATGTATGGTATATCTGAAAGTTGCTAAGAGAGTAAATCCTAAGACTTTTCATCACAAGGAAACAACTTTTTTTTTTTCCTTTTTAGGGGGTAGCTACATGAGATGATGTATGTTAACTAAACATATTGTGGCAATCATTTCACAATATGCATACATATATATGTATGTCAAGTCATGCTGTACATCTTAAAGTTATATAGTTCTGCATATCAATTATATCTCAATAAAACTGAGGGGAAAGCTTATTAGTAATTAAATTCAGTTTAATTAATTAGATATATATTATCCAAGGTACTGTAGAGAAAATGAGGTAAGTGCTTGAGATATAGTCAATATATAGAACTAGACAAGTAAAAAAAGTTGTTTTAACAAAGGCAACATAAGGTCATCAGAGAAACACAAATGCCATAAAATTTTACAATAGGAAGGGGAAGAAAATGGAATCAAGAAGGATCTTGAGTCTTGTTTTCTCAAACGCTACTGATTGCACTGAATGAATCTGAATGAGGACCATGAAGATGGGCATTCTTCACGGGGGACAGAATAAGCAAAGATATTGAAGTAGAAAATGACACCTTATATGTGAAAAAAACATAATTCACATTTTCACATTTGAATAAAAATGTTTAATTAAATTTTCTTCTACAGCAAAAAACCACCTGTTCTACTGGGACATTCTAATAGCCTTTACATAATATGCTTTTCATTCTGACAGCCAAAAGCAAAACTCTCCTAGCCATTTATTTCAGGACAGTAAATTATATCTCTATAAAACTTGAGTGTAAACTGGTTGGCGGCTAGGATGGTGTCTCTAATGCAGTGTCTGACACAAGCAGATGAAGAATGAATATGTAGTAAATTTAAGTAAACTATGAGAAAGCCAGTACAGTATTATGTTCTGAAAACATGTGCCTTAAAACACTAACCCTAAAATATGCATTGTGAAAAAAATTCTATAAACGTTTGATAAATTATGCAAACTTTATTATTCATCCTCCTTTCACAGACCAGGAATGAGCACATTAACATATTAAAAGCTCTGAAAAGTGCTGAATTATCAAAGTCAACCTAACTCTTTTATATCTAGCAATTCCCAAACATACTGGCTAACAGAATCTTTTTTTTTCTCTCCAGACCATTAGGACCCTTTAGAATTACTATTTCATCAAATACCTTGGGAAACTCTCTATTAGTGGCCAAAAGGTAAAATTATAAAACTAAACAGAGGAATAACTACAACATTCCTGAATATTTAAGTATATCACTGAATGTATCTTCAATTTCATTGGACTTCACCTATAAACTACCTGGTCTCCCCACCAAATTGCTTAAAACTATATTGGTTGGCAGTAAGAGAAGATAAACTGGAAACCTAAATATTTAATCTCTCTGTACTCATAAAAATGAACCTATGTAATGTTTCTGAAGCACACAGACCATTATTTAAATAGTTAATACAAAATACTGTCACAACCAAATTTAAGTATGTACACATGCCTGCGTGTGCGCACACGCGCGCGCACACACACACACACACACACAGTACTATATCAAATTCTTCCGGAGCATCAAAGTCCTTTTCTCCTTCCAGCTTATTCTTTCAAATCAGCCACAATTTACGGAACTGAGGTCAAAATTCTCAAAATACTCTATTTCAAAGAGCATGGATCACTGAAATGAGTAATTACTTTAAAACTACAAAAGAACAAATGTTAACTATCTGAGCAAAACGTTAACAAGATATGGTGGAATTAAGTTTTTAAACAAAAAACAGTATAAAATATTTAAATAAAAAGCAGAGTATAAAATAAAAATTCCCAACTGCTTGAAAAAGTATCACTTTAACTTGAAAAACATTTTAGGCAATGCTATGAACTTGAAGCTGCTTGTCAATATTAATGATATAAAACAACAAACACACTAAAGTAATCTCAATCCAGCTCTCACTCACCTTGCTCATGTTTGATCTATGACATTCCTTATAGATTTTTAGGGTTATTTACTTCTCATTAATTCAAAATCTAGGAAATTCTGGGCATGTTTTAGAAAAAAAATAAGGAGGTTTAAAAAAAGTCTTTCTAGACCCAATGCAACTGCCTATTCAGAATCAAGATCCAGTCAAGCAATAATAAAGGAAAATAAGTAGAATATTTAAAATCTGGGAAAGGTAGATAGTGAGATTTTATTTTTAATTTAAGAGATTAAAAAATGATGGAGATGAGTAAGATAGAATAAATATATCTTAATAAGCCTTGCTAATTGGAGATAAAGTATTTAATGAACAACAATGTAGTGTTTTGGAGGTTTTTGACTTTGTATTCTGAGAAAAATTATCAGTTCTCCAAAACAGCAATTTTGAAGCATTTATATCTATTACTAATATAAAAACCATTATTCTAAATTAGCAAAGAAAATAAGCAAAATGACCCTGTTAAATGTATCACTGTATTGTTCATGCATTTAAATAGTACCGGAAAGGTACCAAAGAGGGACAGACAGCTTGATGTTTTTGAACAACTTATTCAAGAATATGTATAAATATCTATTTTACAGCTACAATAATGAGAAAACCTTGACCTAATTAAGAATAATTGTTATCTAAATGACATAAAAAGAAAGTCCCCATTTGCGTAAGTACAGACAAAGTCTGGTTTGTACTGGTTTGTCCTCTCTAGGAGCAGTGTACATTAGTTATTTTGGAAAGGATCTTTCCACAGTGTATGAAGATGCACATAGGTATATAAATTGTATATTGAATTCCAGTGCTTGATCCCTTTTATCAAAGGATATTCCATGAAAGGCATCCAAAACATACTGAAAAGCCATAAATCTCCTCCAAAGAAACATAATTTGTCATGGTACAAAGATTCTTATATTCTCTGCCTGTCATGCCAAAATAATTCCTCAAGCACCAAATCCTGATTCTAAAAGCTTAATTTTGCCCATAAAACATCTATATTTCCCTATTAGAGATGTTATAAGTTATAAATTTTTTAGTTCATTTTCAAGTATAATACAAACATTTCAGAAACAGTATACTAAAGACCCAAAAATGCTCTCATCTTTTGGTACTCAAGATTCATCAAAGGTCACAGGTAGCCCAAACAATGCATAATTTCATTTCTTGGGATGTTAATGATATAATTTGCATACACTAGAACATGCAACATAAATATAGCCCAAGACCCAAGGTCTAATTAGTTTTCTGTTCTGAATTCACTGGTTTATCACTAGTGGCTTAGCATGAATTCTAGAGATACTTTTAACAGCAAGGTCCATAAAAGAAGCATATAAATAGTGCATTTTCCTTTTATTCCATATTTATATTATCCTTACGCTTCTAAACTATTGGAGACACTGATACAGTATAATTGTTGAATTCAGAGTCACTCATATTCATACAATTACTGAATGTGATAAATTTTAATAATCCATAAGAATATTTCCCCCAAATATATTTTAAAGTTCTAGAACCAAATATTTTCTGCCCATAACTTAAAATCTAGACTAAACTCTCAAATGTGAAACATAAAGGAGAAATTATGCCTTACCTCATACTCAGAAATTTCAGGTAAGTTACTTTCATCTGCCTTCTCGAGCTTTTCGGCAGCCCACTTGCTTGCAGCCTCAGCAAGTTCCTTTTGAGTTAGCTTACTGGGTTTGTCTAACACCTAATAAAAACAAAAGAACAGTTCTGTTACAACCCTCAAGGGCTTTTAAACTTCAAATACATCATGAAATACACCCCACTTACACTTAAAATCATATGAGCCTTCAAATACATATAGAGAACAAGTAGATTCTTTATTTGCTTTTCCAAAAATATTCAACATTGAATTTCTTTAAATAGCAATTCCTCTGGGACATATAGATTAGATCTTTTAATTCCATTTACATAAAACTTCAGAAATTCATCTAAGGAACAAAAGACACTGACAATGAACTAATATACTAATAGTATTTAGAACACATAAAACATCACATAGATTTCAACTTTCGCTCTTTAATTATATTCAATGAAATAAAAAATGCAAAATCTTATCAAGGTAAATTCCTAATTAATGCAATAGAAAAATCCAGGTATGCTATTATTATAAGTTGTAATAATTTATATAAATCCTACTCTTTACACAAAATCAATAAACTTAAATTTCATTTTTTTAAAGAGATTCTTTTTTTAAATGTTTTTATTGATTTTGAGATAGAGGAAGGGAAAAGGAGAAACACTGATGTGAGAGAAACATCCAACGGCTGCCTCCTATATGCTACTAGGGATCAAGTCCCCAACCCAAGCATGTGCCCTGCCTGATGGGGAACTGAACTGGCGACCTTTTGGTGCATGGGACGATGCCCAACTGTTGAGCATCGTCCCATGCTCTAAAAGGTCACCACAGTTGGATGAGCATCGTTCCATGTTCCAAAAGGTCGCCAGTTCAGCAAGGGCTTAAATTTCATTTTTTGATACTACAATTACATTCTTCAAACATATATAATATACTTAACAAGAAATGGGATATGAAGTTACAGAGAGACCTAGGTTTGTCTGTAACTAGATAAATGATTTTATATATAATTTATGTAAAACTGACATTGTGAATTTTGGTTTCCTCATTTAGAAAATGGGGATAAATAATATTCACTGTTTTACTAGACTTATTGGGGTGATCACTTTAAAAGTTATATAAATGTCTAATCTCTATGTTGTATACCTGAAACTACTAGAATACTGTATGTTAACTATAATTTTTAAAAAAATTTAATTAACAATATTCACTGTTTTACAAAGAAGTTGTGAGAGTCAAGAAAGGTAAGAGACCTGAAAGCATCTAGCATCTAATGCTTGGTACTCTAGTTTTTCCTTATTTTCCATATTTATTGCTATAATTCTGTTATAAAAACTAAAATATATTTGAAGATTGATCAGTTCATGGGGTAAATATAAAAATGAAGAAAATAAAAATTTTTTTCTAGATCACACGATTCTCCTAATACTTTTAACAGACCTATGCTATATAATAAGATGTAAAAGTTGTAAGGCAAAAATTAGAAAAATTCTTTCCTTAGGCCCTTATGATAATTCTCTGATTCCATTCAATTTCATCAGCATATATTTTCATCAATTAGGCCCTTCACCTCTAATTTTGTCCCCATCTCTTCTTTAAAGTCACATCACTGGATCCCAAATATATCTCCTCTGGATCACAGGGCCAGTAATCCCTAGGTTATGGTACAGTACCACTTATAAAGTGCTTGTATATGCAAACTCCCCAAAAGTATTTTAATTAAATGGTATTCCATGAAGGAGGCTAGACTTGATTACCTCAACATTAGTAGCCAAGGAACTGAATGTTAAAAAAAAACCTGTGATTTCCCACAGTTACTAGTAAATGCTGAGCTGAAACTTAAAACTACGTCTTCTAGAACAAAAAAGCTCTTGACCTCCTTCCATAGGATTCAATTCACCAAACTACTGGCTTGCCATCCATAATGTTTACTGAAGATAATAACAATGCATCTATGTGGAGTGATTCCACAGCTACTGAAGAAGCCTAAATCTAAGTCCAAAGCCCTACCCATACATAAAGTTAAAAATGTATCAGTAATACCTTTATTTTTATTTAGTAATAGAGTTTAAAAGGTTTTTAAAAAGTTAAAAACACACACAAATATATCAAATAAAAAGTATACCTCACTATTTTGGGGTATCTGTTCTGAAGACAAAGTTATATAGCAAAAACAAAGCCAACACTGTAAGTTATCTCTAGTAATAAAGGAAGCAAAATCTTCTATAACTCAATTCTCTTCTCATCTGTCATTAAATCTGTACATCTGAAAAACTCTCATTTAAAACTAACTTCTAAAAGCAGAAATTAAATTCTGAAGAACAGCCCTTGACTTCCTATACGAGGGCAGCCACAATGTTTAAAAGAAAAAGTCCTCCACCAGATCAGGAAATCTAGGCAATAAAGCTCGCCACAGCTACCACGTAACTCTGGGCAAAAGACAACATGAGGGGGCACTTTTCAAATACATAAAATGATTGTAGATCTAAAATTCTGAAATTCTGATTCCACCTTAAGACGAAAATGCAAATAATCTATGTAAACTTGTCAGACAAAAATATCTAAAATCCATTGTTATTTCCCACTAAATATATTTTAACATATGTCACAAAATTTTATGTTGTAACTTTCTTTACATGGCATTATAGTTCAGGGGAAATGAATATTTCACATATCATTATTTAAATATTCACAGTGACTTGGATAGGCAAGTACTATTTGCTCTTCTTTCATGTCTACCTGACAAGAAAAACAAGCCGGTATTTCAGGGGGTAAAATACCCTTGACAACGTAAGACAGAAAAAGAAAATCCAATCCATCTTTCCTATTTAATATACCGAATTCTAGCATCCTGATTCCTGGGAAAGCTCTAAAGAAACTTGTCACAAAGACACCTTTTTCTTTTCTTTTCCTTTGTGGCAAAGAAGAGCCATCCCCTGAACAGCAACATAGATGATATCTACTCTTGTGATACCTACTCTTGTTGAAAAGCCAAATGTACCAAGGACAGAAAAACAAAAAGAAATGAAGAAAGAAGAAAATAGATATAAGAACAGTAAAAGTGTGAGGTGGTGAAGAGAATCTCTAACCGTAGAGAACAGATAGAACACCTCCTCAAAAACTTTAAGTTTTGAAGATCAGAGCTATGAATCATCTTTTCAACACATTTTGGGATGGTGGAAAGGTAAGACTTGGAAGAGGAGATGTAGTGAAAAGTAGATATGTCCTTGAGAAAATTAACTTCTGAGTCTCTTCTATAAAATGAAGATATATACCTACTTTTTAAAATTGCAAGGTAATTACAACCATAGTGTTAGCGAACACCTGCGTCACCTCACATAATTACCATTTCTTTTTTGTGGTGAGAACATTTAAGATCTCTTAGCAACTTTCAAGTATATAATAATTATTATTAACTATAATCACTATGCTGTACATTAGATCCCCAGAACTTACTCATCTGATAGCTGGAACTCAGTACCCTTTGACCAACATCTCTTCTTTTCCCCCACCCACTATCCCCAGCCCCTGGTAATCACCTTTCTCATCTCTGTTTCTGTAAATTCTGCATTTTTATTTTCATTTTTTTATATCTTTATTGATCTCAGAGAGAGGAAGGGAGAGGGAGAACAAGAGATAGAAACATCAGTGATGAGAGTCATGATTGGCTGCCTTCTGCATGCCCCCGACTGGGGACTGATCCTGTGACCTGGGCATGTGCCCTGACCAAGAATCAAACAGCGATCTCCTGGATCCTAGGTCGATGCTCAAATGCTGAGCCACGCCCCGCCAGGCTAAATTCTGCATTTTTAGATTCCACATATAAGAGAATCATACAGTACTGTCTTTCTGTGTCTCTTTCACCTAGCATAAAGCCCTCAAGGTCTATCCATGTTGTCATAAAAGGCAGGATGTCCTTCTTTCTCATGACTGAAGTAGTATCCCATTGTGTATATACACCACAACTTCTTTATCCATTCATCCGTTGAGGGACATCAAGGTTGTTTCCATGTCTTAGCTATTGTAAATAATGCTGCAATGAACATGGGAGTGCAGTTATCTCTTTAAGATCCTATTTTCATTTCCTTTGGGTATATACCTACAAGTGGGATTACAAGATATGGTAGCTCTATTTTTTAATTTTTTTAGGACCCCTCCCATACTGTTTTCCATAATGACTATACCAATTTAAATTCCCAAAACAGTACACAAAGGTTCCCCTTTCTCCACACCCTCCTCAACATTTATCTCCTATCTTTTTTATGAGAGCCATTCTAACAGGTGTGAGGTGACCTCTCATTGTGGTTTTTGATTTGCATTTCCCTGGTGATTAGTGATGTTGAGAAACTTTTCATTTACCTGTTGGTCATTTGTATACCTTCTTTGGAAAAATGTCTATTCAGTCTCTGAGCATTTTTAAATAAATCTTTGGGTATTTCCTATTGAGTTGTATAAGTTCTTATATTTTTTGGATATTAACCCCTTATTAGATATTTGACTTGAAAATATTTTCTTCCAATTCTGTAAGTTGCCTTTTCATTTTATTGATGGTTTCCTTTGATGTGCAGAAACTTTAATTTGATGTAGTCCCATTTGTTTATTTTTTGCTTTTTTGCCTTTGTTTTTGGTGTCAAATCCCAAAAAAATCACTGCTAAGACCAATGTCAAGGAGCTAGGTCTTCTTCTAGGACTTCTAAGGTTTCAGGTCTTATGTTCAAGTCTTTATTTAATCCACTTCAAGTTGATTTTTGCTTATAGTGTAAAATAGGGGTCCAATTTTATTCTTTTGTATGTGGCTACCCAATTTTTCCAACAGACTTTACTGAAGAGACGGTTCTCTTCCCATTGTATATTCTTGGTTCCTTTGTTGTAAGTTAATTGACCATATATAAACAGTTTTATTTCTAAGGTCTCTATTCTGTTCCATTAATCTGTGTGTCTGTTTTTATATCAATATACTGTTTTGATTACTATAGCTTTGTAACATAGTTTAAAACCAGTAACTGAGTCTCTAGCCTTGTTCTTTTCTCTCAAGATTACTTTGGCTATTTGAGGGCTTTTTTAATTCCATACAAATGGTAGGATTGTTTGTTCTATTTCTGTGAAAAACGACACTGGCATTTTGATAGTAAGTGCATTGAATCTGTGGATTCTTTGGATAGTATGGACATTTTAACAATATTAGTTTTTCCAATCCATGAGCACAAAATGTCTTTCCATTTATTTTTAACCTATTCAATTTCTTTCATCTGTCTTATAGATTTTAGTATACAGATCTTTTACCTACTTGGTCAAATTTACTCCTAAGTATTTTATTCTTTTTGATGCTATTATAAATGGGATTATCTTAAGTTCATTTTCTCATAGTTCTTTTTGGTGTATAAAAATGCAACTTACTATTCAAATATTAATTTTGTATCTTGCAACTTTACTGAATCTGTGTATTAGTTCTAACCATTTTGGGGTAGATTCTTTAGGGTTTTCTGTATATATAGTGTCCTGTCATCTGCAAATAGAGACAGCTTTACTTCTTCCTTTCCAATAGGATGTCTTTTGTTTCTTTTTCTTGCATAACTGCTCTGGCTGGCACTTCCAGCACTCTGCTGACTAAAAGTGGTAAGAGTGGGCACCTTTGTCTTGTTCCTGATATAGAAAAAACTTTTAGCTTTGTGCCACTGAGTACAGTGTTAACTGTGGGCTTGTCATATATGACCTGTATTATGTGGAGGTATATTTCCTCTATATGCAGTTTGTTCAAAATTTTTATCATGAGTGGATGAACGGATATTGAATTCTGTCAAATGATTTTCCTGCATCTATTGATATGGTCATATAATGTTTATCTTTCATTTTGTTCATGTGGTATATCACACTGATTGATCTGTGGATGTTGAACCATCCCTGCATCTATGAAATAAATTCCACTTGATCATGATGTCCATCAAATATGCTCCAACTGAATATTCACTGCCACCTGGTTATGGTCAAGATGAGCAAGAGTACCAGTAAATATTAATTTTAGCATAACCTATGGAAAAAAATTCTATGATAAAACTGCTCATTCACTCTGGTAGCTACTTTCAAGTTGTGGCTACTTAAGATTCAAGTTTTCAAATGCAAATTACCCCCATCAGGTATGACAATAAAGAATAAAAGCACCTGTACTAGACAGTCCACATCATTTACTTTGTAATTCCTCTTTAAATTTATTTTATAAACATAACAAACCTTTGATGAAGGAACTGTTGAAGATGCTGAGGGTGAAGTGTCTCTTGATGTTTTCAAAGACTGAATAGGTCTCTCTTTACCTATATAAGAAAATATGAAATGCAAGTTTTAGTTCATTTCTTTTCAATTAGAGTGATTTTGTAACTGAATAAACAAGGGGAGCATATACTTTAGTACTGAAATCTTCCATTACATTATTAAATTAAACCAGTTAGTATTTATATCTACCAATCTTTCTAAGAGGCTGGGCACCATCAAAAATTTCAAATAGCCTAAAACCAGTGGACATCTTATATGGCAATCTCTAGAGGCCACACCAATGCCAGTTCACAAACAAAGAACACTGAGAAGACCTCAAGAAAGGCAAAAAACATTTTAAAATCATAAATGTTTCCTCCTCCAAGTTCTTAAAATCTAACTTTCAATACATCACAATAAAAATCCAAGGGTAGTTATTATATGGATACCACCAAAGAGAACTAGCTAATTAAGCAGCAGCTCACAGAGAGAGGCATGAGGGAAATTTAGCAGGTATTCCTGAAATGTTTAGACAGTCTAAAATATGAAAATAAAAACTAGAAAACTATAATTTAGAGCTCTAGTCCAGAGCCTGGTATGAATGAGTACACAAATATATGATAAATGGTTAATAATATATCTGTATGAGATAAAATCATTAACCTTTATCCTTTGTCACTTCAGACACAAATGTCACTGCTCTATGTATACCATTGTTTTTACAGAAACTTTAGCCAGAAAAGAGATTTAAATAATATTACTTTAGCTGGTTTGACAACAACAAAAATGAGTTTAGTTAAATATATTAAAAATAACAGTGAGTTGTTCCTGACAGAAAAACATTTCATTACATTGTCTATGTGTCAAATATCACATAATTCCCTTACTCTTAACTGCTGGGAAAACCAGTGAAATTACAAAGAGGAAAAAGTGACACCACATTTGCATGACACAGAAGCTGGTCAAGAATGGACAGCAAATGAAGGCCAAGAAGGCAGTCAAGAACAGAGGCAAAGACAAAACAACTTTGCAACTGAGGCACAGCCAGCTTCTGTCAAAAAAGCCTCTTAGGCTCTTCCTGCTATGGTCAGGATAGCTACGGAAGGGCCTGGAGACACAGGCTTCTGAGGACCTTAGTACAGCAGTGAATAACATCTCTTTCCAATGTCCTGCAGACCAGAAAGGCTTTCTCAAGACGCTCCCCTCACCTCTCTAGGGACATTTAGCAATATGTGAAGATATATTTGATTTCACAAGTGAGAGAGTGCCTCTGGTACATAGTACATAGTAAACAGAGTGCCCCTAGGGATGCTGCTAAACATCCTACAAATGCACAGGACAGCCTTCCATAACAAAGAATTACCCAGCCTCAAATGTCAATTCCTGCTCTAGGCACAGCATTCCAACTCTGAAGCTCCAACAGTCTTAAAAAAGACATAACCCTAGAATCTTTCAATTTGTGGCATCATTAAGAAGCTTTCACACTAAGCAAGTTTAAACGTTCTTGTAGAGCCCTGGCCGGTGCTGCTCAGTGGTTAGAGAATTGGCCTGTGCACCAAACGATCTCGGGTTTGATTCCCGGTCAAGGGCACATACCTGGGTTGCAGGTTCAATCCCTGGCCCGAGTCAGGGTGCAGGTAGGAGACAACCAATCAATGTGTCTCTCTCACATCTATGGGGTTTTTTTCCTCTCTCTTTTTCCCTCTCCCTCCCTTCCACTGTCTAAAAATCAATGGGGAAAAAATCCTTGGGTTATGATTAACAACAACAAAATTCTTGTAGACCTTAAAAATAAAAAATAAAATTATACCAGTGGGAGCGAGGTGCAGGGGGTCATTGGGGGAAAAAGGGGGACATCTGTAATACCTTCAACAATAAAGATAAATTTTAAAAATAAATAAATTTTTTAAAAAACCAATCACCATCACTATATCTCCCCAAAAATTCAGAACATGATTTAGTCATTCCCTAATGTACTTCCACTGAATATGGTAAATTCCACATGATATTGTGTCAGTGTCAGTCTATCCCATACACCAAAAGCACTCAAGAGGAACAAGTATCGTAGCTTATTTATTTCTGACTACTCAGGACTTACCTAGCTCAAGTCCTTTAAGTAAAAAAGTAGGCACTCAAAAATTTGTTGAAAAGGTCATTTGATTTTTTACCCTTAGAATGCAGTGACCTCCCCATCCTATTCAGATAATCTATTCCTTGAAAGGAGACGATGAGCTAAACCAATCAGCACAGCACATTAAAGGCATAATTGTAGGCTCAGTTCTGGCACACAGCAGCTAGGCACAGAAAAAAAACCTTTCACAAGCACTTGTAATCTCTTACCTAGCATTTCCTTTACAAATAAGACATCAGCACTACAGCTATGCCAAGTATGGTGCCCAAGTACAGTCTTAGAATCTTTCCTGATTTTAGGTGCAGAAGGGCTAATTCAAACAGATTTCAACTAATGTCAGTGTGCAGAAGCAAAGGAACACTGAAGGGAAGGCCAGGTGGTTGGCATATAGCCACATGTACTCATATATGACAAGTGCATGAAAGGGACAGGCAGGCAAGAAGCAAAGGGTAAAGAAAAGGATGATACAGAAAGCAGTAGAGAAGGCACAGAGAAGGTACAACAAAGTCCCCTGAACCTGCTGTTGTCAGATCCTATCTGCTAATGACTTGTCTATAGATCTCAACCTTCTATGAGGTAACTACTGCTGACCAGGAATGGCTGGCCAAGACAACCAATGCCCATATCCCCCCAAATCCTATTACCTGAGTCTACTGTTCAACTATGGTTCTGACAGTAGATCACTGGAGCAGTTACACACTTTTCCCAGTTCTATAACCTCAATCAATTCAAGCCCCCACCCTTTTATAATCCCAAATCAAAATCTAGCTCAAAACTCACCTCTTTCTGGCTTTCTTTCATTCTGTCGTTTGTAGGAAGCATCAGCACGCACAGGTTCTAGGGAAAGGTGGGCAGGGAGGAATTACCACCAGTAGGCACCTCTGTGCCCAGGAGGAACAAGAGAAGAACCCAGAAGTGGGAGTGATGAGAACAGGAACTTCTAAACAGTGCCTGGTGGCCTAACCTTCAAGTTGGCTGCCTGAGCAGCACTGCTGAAGAGGAGTAACAGAAAAGGAGAAAAATCTGTTTAAGATCAGATGTGGATTGGGCCCAAGTCCAACAACATGAAGTATGAAGATGAAGCTAACCAAGGATAGCATGGGCAGAAAAAAATGAGAAAGGGATCATAAAATAAGGTACCAAAAGTTGAAGATGGGATAATGTCTTACTCATCATTTTAAGAACCTAATTTCATCTCTTCCATAAAGTCAACATTCAAAGGATTGGTTAAGGAACGACACCAAACCATTAAGAATGAAAGATGAATTACCATCAGAAATCAAAAAGAACACTGGAAGGTTTTCATAGCATATCAGTTCCCTGGGCTGACAATGGTTAGCTGCAGTAGTTATTCTGACATGCTCTCAACAAGCAGCCTATTACTAAATCATGCTAATTCACATATGAATTTTCTTTATAAACAAATCCATAGCTACTATCTTGGTTGAACCCCTAATTATCCCATATCTAGAATCATGTAAATGTTTTATTAGCTTCCTGCAAGCTCTTGATGCAGATGGAATCATCTTTCTAAACAGCCTAAATTTACTAGCAGAGGCTCCCAGATATCTTTGCGATAACATACAAACTCCTATTATAGATCCCAAATTGCCAATTTTATCTTTTTTTCTGAGAAAATAATACACTTTTCGAGTCATTTTAGCACTGTCAGCACCTTGCATTAAAAAATGTTTCACGAAATACCACACAAATGTTGCCCTTCCACTTTTGCAAGAATGTTGTTGAAGATGTACTGTCCCTTATTGTTTACTGATCTGTCATCAGGAAATTTTTGTTCCTCCTAAGTAGCTGATATGCTTTTACCCATCGTACACGGTGAACACTATTATTGTTCATTTCCCCTTTGTTTTAGACAAATCCTTAGTTCACCCACAGCAACTACTGAGAGCCTTATCATAGGCATTTATTTCATATTCTACTAACTTTATTTTTACTTTTATTTTCATGTCATTTTCCTTTTACACAAAAGCCTTCACTTACTTAATCCTATTTTATTAAGTATTTATTTGGTTAACCCGCCTCAAATTCTTTGTAAATCAACAGACTAGGACAGGGATGTTTTACAGGAGTGTCTGGAGTGTGCGGCTGGCTTATGTTAGCTGGTGAGAGTGGATTGTCCGAATCTCTTTCAAATTGCAAGTTTTAATAACTCCACATCAGTAGCCTGAAATCAGCCACAGTGGTAGTATTTACTCCATGGATATAGGTAAATGTCACAAATCAGGTGTTTTTCTCCTCCAAGGAGTCAGTTTACTAATATACAACTGGTGCTATGTTTATTGATTTCGATTCCAAATCTCAGAGACACTGTAGGAATTACCACATTTAACTACAGATTCCTAACCATGCTGCCCTAAACAAGCTTGAGCTATTTAATAAATCCAACAGACTAATAAAATCGCCCAGCTAAACCTTGCTCAAATTGCAGAATCATAAAAAAATTAAGTGGTTGTTTTATTCATTAAGTTTTAGAGTGTATTTTAACACAAAAGATAACTAAAACAATTCCACTATGCTTAAACTCTTCATCCCAGAATTTCCAATGATATGTTTATATTAAAACCAAGGGTCTTGCCCTGGTCAGTGTGGCTCAGTTGGTTGGGGGATCATCCAGTGCACCGAAAGGTTGCCAGTTTGATTCCCGGTCAGGGCACATGCCAGGTTTGCCAGCTCGATCTCCAGCAGGGGGAGTGCAGGAGGCAGCCAACTGATGTTTCTCTCTCATACTGAAACATCGATGTGAGAGTAACATTGATGTTTCTCTCTCTCTCTCCCCCCTCCCCCCTCTGTAAAAATCAATAAAAATATAAAATTTAAAAAGGGTCTTTCTTTTTGTCCTCTACTAACAGCATATTAATGATTTCTAAACAAGTTTTTCTTAATATTTTTCCATTTGGTTCATGCCTTTGTACTTCTGCATTTATACTTCCTAACTACACCTTTCTCTTTCTTCTTTGTTGGTGACTATTCCTTAAAGTGAATGTTCCTAACTGCAGTTCTTTTTGCTCTGCTATTCTTATGTGGCTCCAACCAACACTGTGAATACTCATGTTTCTCAAATCTGATTCTTTCATTCACTTGTCTCTATTCTAACTCCTTAGCTACTCCTTAGCTATTGCCTCAAATTCATCTCACACATGATCTTAGTGAGCAGCACTAACTCCCTGCCTGAGACAAGGGCAAAAAGGCTCAACACATTTCTGCCTGACTTGCTAAAGAAAATAAGTGCCAAATTAGGATGAAGGAAAGAAACCAGGAAAGAGGAATTCTGAATGGGCAGTAAGGAAATCAAAATCCAAGCCAAGATATTGGTGAGTGAAAGAATAAATGGGAAGGAAGAAAATAAAGAAGAACTTTAAATACTGGTTCCATAGGACAGGTATAAAGTTTTTCCCAGGCAGATGAAATCAGAGCTAGACAAGCAGGTTATTATTCCAACAAACATTTACAAGTTCCATAAGAATTTAACAATATTTGATGACTCTCTGAAATAACTGATTTAAATATTAATAAATAATACTTGATGACTCTTTAAATACAACAGCTGTAAATCTGACAGGATCTTTCAGAAATAATACTTTCTTTCTGATGTGTTATCCTGATGAAAGCAATGATAAACCTAACCAGACTCACCCAATCCTAAGTAAGTGTTGTTACTGACAATCCATGAAAGAACAAAAAACACTGCTAGAAAAAGTCATGATAAAATTTATCACTGCTAGATTGTAAAATTATGGGCTACATTTTGCAAACTATTAAATTCTTGGTACAGTACCTGACATACAGGAACAAAACAGATACCTATGAATGAAAGTCTTTTCAATAAAACTTGTGAACACAGACAACAGTGTGGTGACTGCAGGGGAAAGAGGGGAGGGGAAGGTTGAAAAGGGTATATAAATGGTGATGGATGGAGACTTGACTTGGGGTGGTGAGCACACAATACAGTGTACAGATGATGTATTGTGGAATTGTTCACCTGAAACCTGTATAATTTTGTTAACCAGTGGCAGCCCAATAAATTCAATAAAAAGGGGGGGAAAAGTATTTTCAATTAAAAAAAAGTCATAGCACAGGTAATCCACCTTTCCCTTGAAGCTTTGAAAGAGAAATTAAGATATGAATAAATGAAGATGTGGTGCTTATACAAAAGCTAAGGAAATAATATATCATGGATGATGATATAAAATTTGGGGCTCTTGGTTAGGAAGAGCATGATTTCCTAGAGATCTACTGATTTATTTAAAAACAAACAAAACAGAATACAGAAGGGAGCACACGAAAATGCTCTTGTGGTAAAGGCTCAAAAAAAAAAAAACCCCCAAAACCCTACAGGAAAAAACACCAAACAGATAGAGGGCTGAAGCAAGCTTTGCACCGCTTCTGCTTCCCCAAAATAATCACCTTCAGGAGGTTAACAATGCAACAAGTTGAAGTAAAGGCATGTTAACTATGAATATTTTGGAAGTGAACTTCTAAATAGAACTCTCCTTTAATACATCAGTCAAAACCACATGGGCTCACTTTTAAAAATACCAATAAAACATTATATCATCTGTACATTATGAATGTATGCTAAAGACAATGTGCTAAGTTCTAAAACAGGGATACTATAGATGCCTACACATACACATATGGAAATATCATTAACTAACTACTGTTTTAGAACTATGGTCATTAAGATGCTAGAGAAGCTATAGTGTACTCCTAGGCTTACCCCAGGAAACTTGCAGCCAAAGCTCTCGTGAGTAAGCAACAGAGTCTCTAACAAAAAGAACAGACTGCATCTGATTCCACAGCACATGAATTGCGTGCATCAGTTAACAGTCCAAGATCTTCCAGGAGAATACTAAATTACCTTTCAGGTACTCTACGTGAAATAGCTCATAACCCTTTACCATTGCATCCTTCCACCAACTTCTACCCACCCTCCAGATATTACCTAAAATGTCTACTCCTGTGTAATGACTTGTCTCCATCACTAGATCGTAAACTTAGGGGGCAAAGATTGGATCTTTCTTGCTTGGCAAACCATTTATTTGAAGTATATTTTTGTTGAATGAAAGACTGTATGAATACTGATCATAAATACGACTTTCAAACCAAAAAAAACTATATTCAGCTGCTAAGAGAACAGGCTTAACCTTCCTACTGCCTAATAATATACATGATCTTAGGATAAAACCTTATTTCCATATCCCCGTTACCATCTAAACATGCACAGAAAAGCCTTCTTTCTAAAGGCAGAATTAAGCTTCTAAATTTTATCGGAATTTCAGCTATAACCCAAAAGTAAATGTGGACTTCCATATTTATTTAGAGCCAACAGGTCTTTAGACCTGTTGTATATTTTCCAACTGCATTGGAGTTCAATAATGGAGTCTATCTTCCAAATATTCTCTTCTCAAAATAGTATTTTTTCATTTTTTATTAAATTTATTGGGGTGAATTTATTAATTGTTCAACAAGGCCATATAGGTTTCAAGTGTAGATTTCTATGATACGTGGTCTGAATATTGATTGCACTGTGTGCCCAATATCCAAAGACAAATAAAAATAGTATTTTTAATTCTTGTACTTTTACAGCTTTCTTAGATGTGCTTTCAAAATGGATTAAACACAGATGAATAATAATCTTTCTTTAAAATATCTTCTATTCATAATAATGGTTGCTGATATGAAGAAAATAAGGGAGCCGTGGCCAGGTGGTTCAGTTGGTTGGAACGTCATCCCATACATCAAATCATTGCAGGTTCAATTCCTGGTCAGGGCACATACCTAGGTTGTGGATTTGATCTCTGATTGGGGCATGTATAGGAAGCAACTGATCAATGTTTCTGTCTCATACTGATGTTACTCTTTCTCTCCCCCCCNAGGTCATATGGCAACTTAGCTGAGGAGCTGGATTCAAATCTCAGCATGCCTCATGCCAAAGCCCATTCTGCAGATGTTCAGATGACAAACAAAGTTTAAAGACAGAGAGGAAGACAGCAAAGCTCTAAGGAAGGCTAGTCTCTTCAGGGAATATGTAGAAACCGGGAGTTCATTGGTAGCTGTCCTGGTATTGGTTTGACTGAGTCGAGAAAGAAAGGGACCAGAAAGAATACTGACATTTAACCTGCAGCTTTGGTGGCCACAGGAAAACAACTGGCAGTGAGGGTAACCAATTCTCTTTTTATTTAGAAACTCTACACTAAGCTGCCTTTCTTTGTGGGGGGGAGGAGGGGGGTATTCTTTTCTTTTCTTCTTGCCCCCCCCCCCTTAAAAAAAAAAAAAAAAAAAAAATCAGTAAAAAAAATCCTCAGGGAGGATTAAAAAAAAAAAAGAAAAGAAAAGAAGGGGAGGCTGAGTCCAAAGTCAGAACTAAAGAAAAACAGACACAGACCAACAAAAACAATAAGCTTCCAAATCTCCCATAGTAATATTTTAAAAATTCAACCAAAATGTTACACAGCCCAATTCATATATGAGCATCGCTGGTAAAGTTGACATTATAATCTGTAGTCAATGTTTGGAATGAGTTAACAAAGAGGCAGTTTATAATCACTGACAATCATCCCAGGAGCCACAAAGCTCCTAATGTTAAAAATAAAAAAAGACAAGCAATCTTTATGTCACTGTTTTGATAGAGGAAACGGTTCATAACTTGAATTTCAAGAAAGTACCTGACCAAGTTTTCCATGAAATCCAAAAGTGAAAAGAAAGAAAAAATTGTGGATCACAACTGGTTGAATAACAGCAAATAATGCAGATAAATGGTTGAGGTCCACAGAGGTCTCTAAAGGTTTCTATATTGGGCCTCATGCTACTCAACAAAACTATTAATGATTAATACAAAACACATAAAGCATAACTTCATTTAGAGATAAAATAAAGCTAGTTTTATCTGCTGCTAATATACAAGACCGCTAAATGAGATTTTTAAACCTCTATGGAAGAGAATCATGTCAAAGTTAATTAGATGAAATTTAGCATAACTAGATTTTTTTAATGCATTAACTACACACAAACAACTGCATCTGAAAAAGTAAAGCTGAAGAGCACTTTGTTTAAGAGTAAAATATATGAAAATTGTTTAGGTTCCAATTGTCTACAGTCTCAGTAAAGGACAGCAATGCATTGTGGTTGGCAAAATAAAAGTTCACTTCTGGCATCACAACTTGAAAGGAATAGAGGGGGAAAAAATTCAGCAAAGCAAAAGGTCCGAAATCCATGTCAAATAAAAGGAATAGCTGAAAGAACTAAATATATTTAAACCTGAAAAATAAAAATCAAGAAGATTATGATGGGACTCTTCAAATACATAAATGGTTACAACATTAAAAAATATATCTTTATGAGTCTAAGATAAATAACTAGCATTACATACACATTAGAGGAAAAGATTTTAATTGTTCTATTAAAGTGAGCTATACAAAGATGGAAAGGCTAGATTGTGATATAATAAATATCACAGGAAGTACTTTAACAAAGAATGGATATGGGTGACTGAACTTAGTGATCTCTGGTGTCACTATTAATGCTATAATCCTAAATGAAAGATAAATAACAAAAGTTAAAGATATGAAAACAATGGGATTCATTTAAGGGGAGTAAAATAGGAAAATAAATATCTGAGAGAGGTCACAAATGGGGTGATGTTTGGTTAGATTAATTAGAATGAAAATAAACTTCAAGTAAAAATATTTAAGGTGTATGTAACAAAACATTTTTAACTAGACTAGTATCATAAACAAAGGGAAAAGAAATGAGGTTAACTAGGTTAACATGCTACTCTGGCAGCATGTAAACATGAACAACAAAAAGTAACAAAAAATAACATGGTAGTCACAGCTTTGACCAGGTTAGTCCCATTAAGTTATAAGCGTAAATCTTATACATGAAGCACAGGGTAAAATAAAAAAGCTCCCTGGGATTAACTCAAAAGGCCAAGTAAGATTTAATTAAATGCACGTGTGTGTGTGTGTGTGCGTGTGCACATGTATAAGCATAAGATGGGAAATAACTAGTTGAGATGAAAAAGGAGTAAAAATCATTCTGTGGCTTATAATTAAGCACATAAGAGATATATTAAATGCACAGAAGAATTATGAAGAATTAGTCCTTAAATGGTTACCATGTGCCAGATAGGTACCAGAATTATAGCGGGTGGTCTACTTCACAAGTTATATAAATATCGAACCACTATGCTGTACACCTGAAACTAATATAATATTGAATGTTAACTGTAATTGAAAAAAAACTTTAATAGAAAATATGGTTACCATGGCCAAACTACTAGTCATCATTAAAATAAGTAAAATTACTCTGAAAAGTATGGACAAAAAGCAAGAAAGTAAAACCTAAAGAATTAGCAAAATTATTTTTACCTGTTATCTACAAACATTTAAAAATCTATGTCAAAATTCTCATTTACATTAGAAAACTAAATTAACACAATATTGCTAATTAACCCAGTTTAAATGACTGATCAATGAAGGACTGACCCTGTTTCTCAGCCCTTTTTTTGAAGAAAAGTAAAGTGCTAACAATATTTGTGACATGTAGTTTTAAAGCAAAAACTGGTATCACAAATATGTAAAAATAATAATTACTTTTCCCATTTACTGCTTAAAATAATACTTAATTATTTGCAAGATGATCTTATGTAACTAGTCCGAAAACCATTTACATGAAAGGAGTAGAGAAAAACATTTAATACTTCAGCCCAAATAGTTAAGGAATCAACTAAAATAATCTGTAAAGAGAGTTTACCCAGAACAAACTTTTTTTCTAGATTACACAAGTTTACTTTCAAAGCTAAATGACTTAACAAATAAACATAAAGGTATTAACAGTCATATGATCTATTTCATTCAATTTATAGCACATTTTAGTTTCCTACCTTTCTTTGTTATCCTTACTCCAGACATTAAAGGCATTAGACCTCAAAGGATGGGAAAAGTACATTGGAGACCCTATGACAAGACCACCACTGTGGCTCCTCCACATTTCATCTCAAGATTTTAGAATTCTGGCCACTAACTTACCAGGCCAAGAGCAGATAGAGATGCTTCCTAGAGATCTGTTTTACAGGCAAAATTTAAAAAAATAAGGCTAATTCACCAATAACTATCTTAAATAATTTAATAGCTTCACTATAAGCTGTCAAGTAAGAATTTCAAGCCTCCATTTTATTCATGTTTTGTTTAAAAGGCTTCATAATCAGTTTCCAAGGACACTTTCCCCCTCTTAATCAAATCATTAATAAATCTGAATTTAAGTCATACACATGAAAAAAAAAAAAGTTCCTAGAAGGTAGCTGGCTAATTGTGGATATTTTTATCTGGGCATGTGAGCATGCATTAGAACTTAGAGGTAGTCTTTCTTATTGAAAGGGGAGAAGGGTGGTGGGAGAGGAAGGAAATACCAAACTGTTAACACCGAGCTCCAGAATAAAACTTTGTTACCTGGAACTATTCTGAAAACATTTTAAGCAATCAGGCATGACCATTCATACACATGTATTCAAAAAATTTATTTTGGAAGCCCCATTCTACCTAGCTCTGAAAATAGTAGACAATTGATAAATGTTTCCTAAATACTGGAATCTAGCAACAGCTCCAATGCAGACATTCTGATCATCTGAAGTGATCTTCCATCACTCTTAACATGCAGGAGGCAAAGACTGTTAAACTAAAAACTTACTATTTGAAAAAAACAGTTAATAGAAAAGAAATCAAACAGGAAAAAAAAATCCTAGACTTTTCTGATTTCTGTACATGGGCTTATAATTCCTTATACCTAGAAGATACTTGTCCACTTATATAAATCTGAAATGAAAGTTAAGCCCAAATGTCATTTCTCCCACGACATGTTTTTCCATCCCAAGTAAGAATCTCTTACCTTGACCTGCCCATGTCACATTAGCTCATTTATGACATATCGATTCTTGTACCAAAGTTATATTTTACATCTGCTATATTTACAAGTTGATAAAGTTATTAGTTGGGGCAAAAATACATATACATATTCTAGTTCCTTGGTGACAGGAATATTTTTCTAACAGTGCCTTGGATATAGAAGGCATGAGGAAATTTTCTGTGAATGAGCTCAACAGCAGGCAGTTAAGAGTCTAGATAGATAATACAGGAAGATTTATTTATTCCAATGCACACTTGAGCAACTCAGTCAGGATGACATGATTGCATAGAATGCCATACTTGTCCAAATTTAAAAACAAACTGAAGGTTGCAAAATAACAAACCTAAGGTAGGTTTAACTCTAAATTTTATAAGACTATACCTTATATATAGGGAAAAACCACTGCAATTTTTCATGAAAAATATACTATCAGATATATCTCGTGACAAAAGATTAGAGAGGCTGGGCCAACACAAAATGGCAGGAAATCAGGAGTGTGTGACTTTCCAACATGCTCATAAGACATCTCTCCAATGTTGAAGAATTAGAAGAGAAACATCATGTTGACTGCAATGTGAAATGGCTCAAAATAAGAGTGCATGCGTGTTTATATGGTGCTCATTATACTATTTTTTCAACTTTTCTATAACTTTGAAATTTCTGAAAAGAAAAAGTTAAAAAATATATCTCTTACAACACCTATAAGACAATCTGTCTCAGTACACTGTCATCACTGGAGATTGCAAAAGAAAAAGTCCTTAAAATACATACTTCTATGTTGAGACTGATGGAAAGAGTAAGTTTTGCTTCTTTCTGGAGAGTAGCTTCTACTGCTGACACTGGAGCCAGATCTGCTGTGTGGAGAATCCTTTCTGCCTACAGGTGATTCTCTTAGAAAAGGAGTTTCTCTTTTATGAGGAGATCGGTCTCTCATATAATGGGAAGCATGGAAACTTTTTCTTCTGAAGCCATCTCTCATTTCCCTTTGAAAAGAAAAGAAGTTAATTATATCCTGTATCCTACGTATACAAACACAAATGGCAAAAGCTCTGATTACAAGCTACTCTTCAAGTTGTAACCTTGGTTCCATTTTCTACTACCACCTAACCTCTGAAGTCAGTCCACAAAATGAAACTTTATCAGTGAAATATGTTTTAGAATGCATCATTTTTTCACAGTTTGGAATAGAACCAGGTGGTTAAGTGTAAAAGTTACTTTATTCTAAGCAAGTACAGTAATTTTAAAATGTGAAAACCATACAGTCCTACAACCTCTAATTCTTTTTGCCATTAACAATATACTACACAGTTATCATACTCTCAAAGACACCTAGAGGATGCCAAAGACTTCCCCAGTAAGATATTTCATGGTCTATTATCTCCTTCTAAGTACAGTATATACTGATTTTCAAATGGTGAGATTTTGCCCCACACATGACAATTTGGCTACACCTATAGGCATTTTTGTTATCACAATTAGAAAGGAAGGGATACCACTGGTGAACAGAGAGCAGGGATTCTGCTAAAACCCTACAGTGCCAGGACAGTTCCCATACACAGAACAGTAAACTATCTAACCCAAAATGTTAATAATGCCAAGGCTGAGAAACCCTGATGCATATCTATTAAGTCCTTGCTTTCTGAACTCATATTCTTAGTATAGATTGTTATCTAGCTCTAAAAACCAACTTTTTATGATCACTTTTATTTTTACAAATTAAATTTCTTTATTAAGCAATATCATTAATTAAAAGCAGGAAGCAAGCCCAACTAGTAAAACTTTATAAAGAAAAACAATCTTTAAAATACAAAGCAAATAAAAATTATTAAATGAAACTATCTAGACTTGAGCTTCTATTTAAAAGAACATGTGGAATCAGATAGGTTTTAACTGAAGATTTAGCAAATGTACCCCATATTAAAATTAAAGAACTTTAAATTTCAGAAGAATGCAAAAAGACAAACCAATGGCATGAAATTTCAAATGCTCAAAAATAATTTCAGTATATTGATTGGCAGTCCCAATAGATAAGTAGGTTGTTGTCATCAGCTGATTAGTATCCAAAATATATTGCCTTTATAGATACACTTAAGTTTCTCTGGGCAAAAGCAGAAAACAGCTAAAACTCATTTATGATTAATGAACATGAACAAAATACTAATACTAAAATAAAGAATTAAAGAAATTCTAATATATTCAAGTTTAATCGCCAAAACTACAGGAGTCATATCAACATCACTTGAAAGCGAGGGTGGCTGTGTAGATATTACACAGGTTTTAGGAACTGTACCAGGTGCTAGGGACCCAATGGTGAACCAAATGTATGCAGTCTCTCCTACCATGGGACTCTCAGGCTAGCTGGAAAAACTAATATTTTAATTAATTAATTAATTAATTAATTAAAAAAACACACATGTGAATACAATCAAGAGTGCATGCAGGGAGACTAACTGGTAACCTACTCAGTCCAGGCTAGAGACAGTAGTATCTTAGCTTGGGAGCAAAAAGGGAGTCACAAATTCAACATGCACAAGAACACGCCTTGGTAGATTCGATGGCACATGGTAAATGTTTAATAAGTGTAAGTGACAGGATATGTCAAGCTGATTCTCAGAATTCCGGCGTGATGAATTATTGAAATGAGAAAAGAAATGGGGTGGGGGAATCCACATTTTAGACTCGAACATGTTAAATTTGAAATGCTCATGTAACATCTTGGTAGGCAACTAGAGATACTGATGCCAAGACCAGAGGAGGTTTTTGGTTATAACAATAACATTGTCTGTAGATAGGCAGTATTGAAAGCCTTGGATATGGAGGAAAACAAACGATAAAAAGAGTAGAGGGCCCACCCTTTGGGGCTAGAAAACTTTCACACTGAGGGAGAAATGGGCTGCCTAAAAATGAAAGAGGGTGGTCAAAGAAACATGAAGGAAACAGTAAGTTATCAGGGGAGCCAAGGGAAGAGTGCTCCAAGAGGAGAATAAAGGCCCTGTACACGGAAATTAAGTGAGCTCTTACTGTCAACTTACTTTGGAAATGGAGAAGAGCAGGCCCATGTTGAGAGGAAAGATTGCCTACTTTCTCTCGGGAGAAAGGACAGAAGAAATGCTGAACTACAGTTTCCTGATTCTGACACCAGATGGCAGTAAAATCTCAACAGAACAAACAGTTCAGACCTCTCCCGAGTAGCCTGGGTGGCTAGATACGCTGGTGGAAGGTACATGTCAGATTTTAGGGTCTCAGAGCAATGGCTCTTCTCCCCTCCACATCAGCCTCTCCAACTGCCATGACATTAAGCAAAAACATCACAACTGGTATCCTCTACCGTAAGTATCCTCTTTGATAAAATGGTAATATTAGCCATCATTTATTCACGTGTGTATGTACATACATTTTTTATATCTATACCTACATCCCAATATATGAAAAGAACTACAAAGAATTACCATGACTCTGAAGCAGCTTAGTATCAATTGGGAAAATGGGGTGTAAATGTTCCAGAAGGCTAGTAGTATAATTTAGAAGAGAAATGTATATTAGAGGAAAGCTAACCTGGAGATTTTTAGAAATTAAATTTAGATCAACATTGTTTCGAGCCACAAATGTTTTAACCATTTTTGAAAAGAGACATAGGTAATTCATTTTAGTAATATTTTTTACTTAAGCCAATATATTCAAAATATTATCAACATTTAATCAACATTAAAAATTTTGCTGAGATATTTTCTATTCTTTTTCATCTTTTTTTTAATCCTCATCTGAGGATATGTTTTACTGATTTGAGAGAGAGAGGAAGGGGAGAGAGGGAAGGAGGGAGGAGAGAGAGGGGGAGAGAGACAGAAACGTGTGAGAGAAACATCGATCAGACAGATGCCTCTGCTACGCACAACCGCATGTGCCCTGACCAGGAATCTAATCCTCGACCTTTTCGGTGCACAGGCGACGCTCCAACCAACGAGCCACACAGGCCAGGCTATATTCTGTTTTTCATCTTGAATCCTGAATCTAGCGTGTGTTTTATACTTATGGAACACCTCAGTGTGAACTGGCCATATTTCAAGTGCTCAGTAAGCACATTCAGCTAGTGCCTCCCATTTTGGACAGCACAAATTTAGATGGTGGAAAAAGTATTACAAACTTCAAGTAAAAGCAGAGAGGGATTAAAGGGTATTATGCAAACAAGAACAGAGTAGGCAGAACAGTGAAAAAAAAATTAAAGCAGTGACTGAAAAGCAAAGGAAGGAAATTATTAAAAAGGAAAAGAAAGTAATATCAAATGCCACAGAGGCTGGAAGAGATCTCTGCACTTAAGACCTAGGAGTCACGTGACCAGTGAGCGGGCTGTCCAGTGAAGCTTTGGAAACCAAAGCAGATTTTAAGAATTTAAGACATTTTTCTTACTAAAGGGGGTAAGCCATAACTTTTCTGCCAATAAATTTTTTTAAAAANGAGAGGGGGAGAGAGACAGAAACGTGTGAGAGAAACATCGATCAGACAGATGCCTCTGCTACGCACAACCGCATGTGCCCTGACCAGGAATCTAATCCTCGACCTTTTCGGTGCACAGGCGACGCTCCAACCAACGAGCCACACAGGCCAGGCTATATTCTGTTTTTCATCTTGAATCCTGAATCTAGCGTGTGTTTTATACTTATGGAACACCTCAGTGTGAACTGGCCATATTTCAAGTGCTCAGTAAGCACATTCAGCTAGTGCCTCCCATTTTGGACAGCACAAATTTAGATGGTGGAAAAAGTATTACAAACTTCAAGTAAAAGCAGAGAGGGATTAAAGGGTATTATGCAAACAAGAACAGAGTAGGCAGAACAGTGAAAAAAAAATTAAAGCAGTGACTGAAAAGCAAAGGAAGGAAATTATTAAAAAGGAAAAGAAAGTAATATCAAATGCCACAGAGGCTGGAAGAGATCTCTGCACTTAAGACCTAGGAGTCACGTGACCAGTGAGCGGGCTGTCCAGTGAAGCTTTGGAAACCAAAGCAGATTTTAAGAATTTAAGACATTTTTCTTACTAAAGGGGGTAAGCCATAACTTTTCTGCCAATAAATTTTTTTTAAAAAAATATCTTTTTATTGATTTCAGAGAGAGGGAAGGAGAGGGAGAGAGAGAGAAACATCAATGATGAGAGAGTCATTGACTGGCTGCAGCCCGCAACCTGGGCATGTGCCCTGAAAGGGAATCGAACCCCGATCGCCTGGATCCTAGGTCGATGCTCAACCGCTGAGCCACGCCCGGCCAGGCTCTGCCAATAAAATTTGATAGAGGGAAGGAGGGAGGGAACTGGGACAATATTTTGAGGGAAAGGGCTTATCTGATCACATCTGGAAGTTGAGGGAAAAGCCTAATTTCCTGCAGAAGAGGAAACTGATAACTCAAGACAAAAGAATGTTAACTGATAAACAAGAAGCCAAAAATCAAGAAGAGAAAATGAGACAAAGGAACTAAGTAGAGGAGAATGGCACTGAAGAAAGAAGAAAATGTAAAAGAGAGAAAAATTCTTATTTCCAGAAGAGAAAATATGAGAAATCTCTTCTCAGAAGGCCTGTACCTCAGTAAATTCTAGAAGTCATCAATAGAAAGTAAACAAAGAATGTGAAAGCAGCTTGAGGCAGAGTGGAAAGTTTTTATACTTATCCTTTGAAGGAAAGTACTAATTAGAGCAGTGTTTCTCAAAATGCCCGTCCCCAGGCTTTCATCAGCATTACCAGGAAAAGTGATAGAAATGCAAATTAAGAGGCATCAAATCACACCTACTGAATTGGAATCTCCAAGGTGAGACCCAGGATTCTGGGCTTTAACAAGGGTCTCCAGGTGGTTTGGATGCACAAAACTTTGAGAAGTTTCTCCAAGTTAGAGAGCCTCACTAACATGTAAGAGCTGTATATAAGTATGCTATCTCTAAGTCAAAAGCAGAAACTCAGCTCATGATAGAGGCAGAGCAATTCCCAGTGACAATTCTTGGT